TTAAATGGGAATTTGGTTTAGTTGTCAGAGACTGGTAGAGTCAGAGTACAATTACCATTTGGACTGAGTAAGGAAAGGATAAAATTCACTCTGTATTTGTAATTTTGTTAACTGTTGTGTTATTTTTTATGTCCTGATAAAACTCATGAAAACACTTGTTTAAGTCTAGTATGTTTTATTCTAGTTTTGCAGAGAGCTGCTGAGAACATAGGCTTCATGACAATAGAGAAATGAGTGTGTTTATTAAATCAAATAGTGAGAGACAAAGTAGCACATTAACCTTTGTTAAAGCTGCATACCGTAGGGGCACTGGACCACCTAAGTAGAACATGCGTGGTTTTCTTTTGTTGGGAAAGAGATTGAATGTTTGAAGGTGCTTTTCTGTGTGGAAAGGCTTTTTTCCCCCGAGGTGTACATACAGTTAGATTTCTAGGATCAAGAGGTGTCACAAAGGAAACAGATCCTGACAAAACTATTGATAAGGTGGAGGGTGTGAAGGCAAAGTTTTGGGCTGTGAGTGATCAATCAAGTTAAGCACTGTATTAAGAGAAGCAAATTTTCTGGAGTATGGAAAAGGTGTGTGACTCTTATAATGTTGAGAAACTCTCTGGTACACACCTTGAAGGTCTTGGACACTGAAACTCCTTTATTTCTCTGGAAATTTAGATGACTTGAAAGAATTAAAAAAAAAAATCAGCCTAATAGAATCACAACCCATTTTTTCATAATTTTTCCCTGCTCATATCATCTACCTGTTTACTGTGTGTGACAAAAGCAGACTTGCCTGCCATGGAGTAGAACTTTTCCACCACTCTGTGATAAATTTTGCCTTTTGAACACCTTCTTCAAACACAGCAGAACTATTTGATTCTATTGATAAACAAATTTAAGGAAAGCCAGTGACTTCTGCTATGCAGGTTATTATGGTGGTCATAAAATCATTGGAAATTTCTTGCATTCTATGCAAGGATGACACAGGACAGAGACCCTACAGTCAGAGCCGAGCCATGAGTGGAACCCACTGAGGAGAAGGACTGTGACACATAGGCTCAGTAAGCAGCACAGGTCTGACAGGACCCAGGTTCATTTGCATCACTGTAGGTTTGGAGGAAGAAACTCAGAGCAGAAATTATGTGCAGTTGGTTTGGCTAGCAGCATCCAGGCTGGACATGACACATATTTTCATGTCACCTATGTGCAAGTATATTTTTAATGTGCTCCAAACAAGCTGTGGTTTTCATTCCTTAGGCTCTCTGCAGATAACCCCACCATATCCAGTCATTTCTACAACAGCTCCCGCAGTCTGTGCAAATGTAACCAGCTCACCCACTTCTCTGCATAGCACCTGGTCTGCCTGGAGACCAGGCAAACTACTGGAGAAAGCATGTAAACACCTCTTGCCTTCAACAAGTAGGAAATGTCCCAAAGCATCTATTTTTACCAGAGTGAAGCTGAGTTGTTGTGTTATGGTTGAAACAAAGAGTAATTAGCAATTCATTGAAAAGATACAAGAAAAGAAATCATACAAAGGGGAGTCCTTGCCGCTATCTCACTTTCCTGATTCTTATCTCTTACTTCCTATTTCTGGCTTTTCATTTTGGACTTTGCAGCTCAGCTTCCTTTTGGTGTTTCCCTTTAAATTTTTGTCTGTCATATAGCATTGTGCCTATGGTTTTTTGTAAAGGAAGCCTGGGAAAAGGTTGGATCTTTCAAGAATGTAGGGTTACATATTTTTAGTTTAGGGACTGCCTTTTGGAAATGAGCAACAAGGGTCATGCTTTAAACCTTTTCCTATGTTTAAAGAGATTTTAGTTCTTCCTGCTTATCCCAACTTTAGGTATTCCAAAGACTGGATAGCGACAGTGGCCAGAATGTTTAAGTTTAGAAGAGCTGAAATGAGTATTTCTCTGTCTAAAGAGTAAAACCAATAAAGTTTATTGTTCTAATGAATAGATTGCTCCTACATTTCAGCAAAACCCAATTATATATCATCAAGTATGTCATTCCATGGGGATTTTTAACAAGTGGGGTCAGACTATTCTTAAATAGAACTTCAAGACCATCTCAAAGGCTATTTTTGTTTGAGAAATAGATTATTTACAAAGAACTAGAAAAATGGTGCTTCAGTTGGAAACAGCTCACTGACACTAGATTGCTTGGTTCTCTGTAAAGCATTGAACCCAAGGGTTGAAACTTTTTTTACTTCTAGAAGGAATGCCAAACATTATACACGGTGATGTAATTATGATGCAAGCTGGCACCAAGATAATTTATACTGTAAATTTAGAAAAAAATTAACTCTGATCTGATCCAGAAGATCTTCCACATTTAATGTGTATTTATACCACAAGTTGCAAAATGGTGGCAAATTTTGTGCTGTTGATAGTTAGGGAAGCTTCATTAAATCCCGTTACATCAGTTTTCAAGGGAGAGCTTAGTTCAGGGCTTTACAGGATCGAGCTTTTCATTAGAAAGAAAAGCTTAATGGATTCAGCAGGTGAAACAACAGAGAAACATTAAAACCAAAGAGAGTGACAGTGGATTTATTTCACTACTTAATCAGTGGACAGTGTGGAAGATCATAGTATCATTATTTCCTCCATGATACTCATGTCTAAGCCAGACATCTATCTGTTCATATTGTTTTCTTCCATTACATGTATTTTTTAATCCATTGTAATAATTTACTTTGGCTTCTAGCTCCAAGCATAGAATACAGTTTCCATCTTATTCCAAATAATATTGGCTAGTTGCTAGGGGAGTGTGCTGATTCTTTTATGATTTCTTTTCCTCACCACATCTGTGTGTAATTTTTCTATTTATCATCTCTCTAGGACATTTTTCCTGTGAGAAGCCCAAATGTGAAATGTAGCCCTTTCAGATCTTGTTTGGTGTTTTACACAAGGAGCATTTCCTGTACATATTTACAGAATAGGATTTTACCAACTGGTGGTTACTACCAGACGTAAATGCCTAAATGTATGTGTGGATGGGTGTGCACACTCCTCTGCTATCTCCTCTGAGTAAGCAGGTATGAATTGAAGTGTAGGTGTGAATTAATTTAAGACTGAGTCTTCCTGCTCCTTGAAGTTTCATACACTGTCTGCAACCTGCTTCTCTGGGCTATTTCACCACTGTTAGCAAATTTATCTTGGGTGTTGAAATGGTGACAGTTGAAATGGCCTCAGTTCCTCTGACTGAATTTAGCATCTTTCCTCCACTGAGGGACTGCCCAGAGTGATCTACACTGGCTCCTCAGCCCCACAGGTTATAGCCTGACAATGTCAATTTTAGTTGATGCTATGCCAGAAGATGTGGGCAGCAATTTACATTTTTCCAGCTGATCTGTGAACTGTGGAGGAGATGTTGAGAAAAATTTCTAATTCATCTACTCATTATAACCTTTGTTCCTCCTCATTTGCTCATTATAACTTTTGTTCCTCCTGTGGTTTTAGCTGCAATGTTTATTTCCATGTCTGGAGTGTTCCTTTCACTTCTTAGCGGATAGTTGCTTTGTATTTTGAAGATGAAGCTCTCCTACTACTGCTAATTGCTGTCATCTCATGGCTACCAATAGCACTTTCTTGGTTTATCCAAGACCTCAACCTAATGCTTTTGTTTTTACACTTCGGGTTCATTAATTGTTCCAAGAATACTTGTGAAGTACAAATCTCAGATTGCTTCAGTTCCCACTAACTTCACTGTCAACAACTTTTGGTATTCAGAGGTTTATTTATGGCTAGTTTTATTCCTTTTTTTCTTTCCTGTAGATCTTTCCTTAGTGCAGAAATTTTCATATCTTCAGTGGCTCATCAGTTTCAGTGGACTCTTCAGTTGTTTGCTGTTTCTTGTCAAGGCTTTGTCAAAGACCAAGAAGAGAGACAGGGGAATCTGAGATTTGTTTTCTGTTGACTTATATTGATTTCATTGAAGAGCAACATCAGGACATCCCACAGAGTTTGTCAGACTAGAAGTAGTGTAAAGTGGGAGAGAATCAGCCCCCCTGGATCCATGTTAAGGCTGTGTGGATGATGCTGACGATGGATGGGGATTCCTCCCGTGGTTGTGAAGTTGGGGCAGGTCATTGATCATTGTCCTGAACATCCTGTGGAAGATCCCACAAAATACTGATTTCTGTCTGACCAGTTTTTCATTCTAGTAGTGACCTTTGAGTGAAATGTTTAATTAATCTCCACCTAAATACTGATTAAAAAGTGCTATTTCCATGGAGGCAGAAAAAACTACTGAAACATCTGAGCTTGGCTGTTAAATGACATGATCTCACTTAATTCCTTAAAGTAACTATCCACATCCCCTATGAGAGTATGGCAAAGATTTGTTCTGTTAAAAGTTATTCTTTCAGCAGTGAGGTGAGTCAGTGTGATTTTCTTCTGGCCACATGAGCTATGATAGCAAGACAGAGATCTCCTGTCAGCAGTGTGCCCAGAATCAGAGCAATCCCTGTCCTGCAGGAGGGTATGCAACCTACTAGGAGTTGATTGTTTTGTGTTTTTTCGGTTTTTTTTTTTTTTTTTTTTTGGTTGTTGTTGTTTGTTTGTTTTTTGTTGTGTGCTTTTTTTTTTTACCACTCCTGTGCACGCTTTTTTTTTTTTAATCTTCTTTTTTTTTTTTTTTTTTTTTTTTTCTTTTGGCAGACGTCCTTGAGCATTTGAAACGGATGTGAGAGAGTTTTTAGTCCTCATGCAAAACAACCAACTAAACATAACAGATTACATCAGCTCAGGCTTTTCAATTCCTGGATGGCAGCAGAGTGCTAATCCAACCTTCATCCTGGATTTCATAAACTGAAACAAGGGAGGCTGGCAGGAGCAGCGCTGCCGGATTGAGGAAGCTGATGACGGTGCAACATGTGGGCAACACACTGTATAAAGCTCATAAACTTGTAGGCTGATGTGTGCAGCTACCACTTTGGATTCTGTACCGCTGCTTCCCTCGGCAAGAGGCACCAGCAGGCTGAGCACTAAAACCTGCTCTTTGGGATGGAGCACTTACCCCTGCAAGACATGAAGGGCTTCCTGTTTCTCACGCTCCTCCTGATGCCTGTGCACGCTGGAACTGCTTGGAGTGCGAAATATGCAGTAGATTGTCCCGAGCCCTGTGACAGTAACGCATGCAAAAGTACCTTGCGCTGTAAGCGAACGGTGCTGGATGACTGTGGCTGCTGCAGGGTCTGTGCAGCTGCTCTGGGGGAGACTTGCTATCGTACTGTCTCGGGTATGGATGGTGTCAAGTGTGGCCCTGGGCTGAAGTGCCAGTTTTACACAGAGGAGGATGACTTTGGTGATGAATTTGGTATCTGCAAAGGTAACAATATTCACTTTGCATGCACCCACTATGGCAATTTAACAGAAAACTACATGTGAGCTTGCCTTCTGTTTGAAAGGTCTAAAGTGGGATTTTTCCTGAAAGTGAAAAATAGCTGCTGGTATTAGAAAGTGTTACAGGTAGGGGGGCAGGGCTATTAATGTGAGAATATTGTTTAGACTTTGAGAAATGTGTGAGCAAATAGAGACAGGGTGTGCTCAGAGATGAGATTTTTGACTGGGACTTGAGAGACCCAGGCACTAGTCCTGATGTTTGCACTGATTTGATGGGTGGCTTTCTTTAAATTGTAAAGGCTTTAATCCTACAAGTCCAACCTTGTCACGGGGTTCCTGTCCCTGCTGCACTCTCTGTGGGGTGATGTTCCCTCTGGCACTGCCAGCTGTGTGCCCAGGGACCAGGTTCTCACTGTGGGGTTTGTGAGATGGAGGTAAGAGCAGTGCCTGAGTGCATCAGGAACATTGCTGCGTTCGATTTAGTCCTGCCGCTAAGGTGCTCAGCTAACCTAGGGTCAGGGGTGGCAAATAGAGACGCTCCTCTCTGAAATATGGGAATAACAGAGCAGACACTGACTGTGAGATGAGCAGCCAGCCACTGCATTCAGCTTATTCCAGGTATGCTGCACTTTGATTTCTTTAGTCAGAGGCTAAAATGGTGTTTTCAATTTAAGAGCTATCCTCACTCCATGCAACATCGAGAATCTTTAAAAGGAGAGGAGGTATTATTAATAAGTAGGATGACAGTTTTAAAAAAACCCCTATTTTTAAAAAAGAGTTTGTAAAGTATGAATGCAGTGGGTTTTCCTGTGTTTGTGTGCCATTCAGTAAGGTGAATACCTTACTGAAAACAGATAAACCTTAGAACAGCTTCCTTAAAAGGGGATATGTTTTGGCAGCTAAATACCAGGAGTATTACTAAACTCATTTAAAGTAATGCCTTAGGACCAGATGCTGTAGAAATAATTCAGGCTGACTCACACACAGAACACACTTATTTACCATATTAAAAAACAAATTCATGAGCATGGTTAAGTGTAAACCCAAAAATACTAATTTTATTTCTAAAGACTAGAATTTAGGCATAAAGATCATATTTTTGGTGCATTCACCGTAAAAGTATGTTACCGAGATAGCTGACTGATCTTTAGTTTATTCAAAATTGCCACAGTGAAAGATCCTGACTATAATTGTCTTAACAATTCCTTGGAATTAGTATATACTTTTCAGTTTCCTCTTAGGAATTTCTTTGCAATAGCACACTTTGAATAGGAAAAAAGAAATATTGAGGGACATGAGATCTGAATCCCTATAGTTGAATTGTGGATGCTCTGGAGAAAATGCAAAGTAAAATGTTTGAGATTTTGTCCCATTTAGTCAGTGGAAAAGCTCTTACAAATTTCAATAAAGCCATATCTTGACTTAGAATTGTAAATTTATCTTTAAAGCTTATATTCCCCATATGTTTTTTTGCACTAAATATTATAGATGTAATCTCTAATTATTTTTCCTTTTTCATCTAAGCTCTGAGGTAGCACAACTTTTCTCTTTACATATGAGAATTGATTAGGCAAAGTATGGGGCCAATTATTATTATTTTATATATCCATTTACAGCTATGATACCAGATCATTCACTCATTTTAATAACTTCCATGTTTGTAGTAATTGATAGACTCAGGATAGCTAAATTCTCTCTGACTTCCTGCAAATAATTTACTTTGAAGTTCTGAAAAAATTATCTGAACTCTCTGTTTTTCAATTTTTCTTTTTTTTTTTTTTTAAAAGTCAGCAGTGTATGTTTCAGAGCAATTTTTAGATAGTTTTATTACTATAAGAGTGCATCACATGACTGTCAATAGCAATGCCATTCTTGTCCAAAACAGACTAAAGGAATGCTGGTGCTCTTGCTTCCCTTAAATCACCAGGAGCCATTAGCAATACATTTAGGAGCAGCCTACTGCCAAACAAAACCTTCTAGTTGTAAAATTGATTCAGACCTCAGTTTCATCAAATATGAAGAGCAGCATCAATGCCAGGATTTTTCCACACAGAGCCAAGTGCTTTGGGTTCAGACTTGTTTCCATGTTGTTGCACACAGCTTTGCATCCCAGCTCTCCATGTTGAGTACTTGGAGCAGGTATATTGATGCTCCATGTGGTGTGAGCTCTTCACTTGTCTACCAGGGAGGTCGTGTGCACAAAACTTGAAAATCCTTCGGTACGATTTTATTTTGGTTTTATGTGATCAAGCAGCAGGTCAAAGAGTGTCCTTCTTGGGAAGGGGAGTATGTTGAAGCTCAATTTGTTTTTCCAGGGTGGAGGGACTCACTGTGCAGTCCATTTAAAGGAACTGGTTGATTTTCTAGGGTTTTTCATTTATAAAACATATCCATTGTATTTGCAGAGAACTGTAAAATTTTGACTTCACTTTAGTGCATTAGACTGTTTTTCGGATTGCCCAGGCTCCACAGCAAAACTAAATATTTGCACTGACTCAAGAAGAGTGGACAAATGAAGAAGGATAACCTATTGTGAGGTGATACATGCACAGAAACTATGTCTGAATCAGGAAACCCCAGAGATAAAACTGGGAAACAAAATGAGGGAGAGGCATCGTTTGTGCATATTATAATCACTTTTCTTAACGTTTTGTAGAAACCTGGCTAGATGGTTCCTTGGTGCAGCCCTTTATTGGTCATTTATCTGTGCTTAGGAGGTGAATCAGAAACTCTCTAGACTTTGCCATTTAAGGTGACCATGTACCCTGAGTCAGTAAAGACAGTCTGAACATAAAGACCTTTCTCCTGGGAGATCTCAAACTTCTCTTGGAAATGACTGCATGTTTGGGGGTTTGGTAAGGACATGTTGACATGGATTTTCCTTGTCTCCATCTTTTCAGCAATGGTCCTGGGATAGTTCAACAGCAAGGTAGAGGAGGACAAGAGCTGTGACCTCTAGTTTAAACTCTGGGAAGTTACACAATCCAGCAAGTGATATGTGTCAGCTATGGGACAGGGCAAATCCCCTGCACCTGACTTAATTTTCTTTAGAAAACATTCAGTCCCATCCTGGTAGCTGTTCTTTGGTGCTCCTCCACAAGCTTGCTCAAGGATGGGAGGTTTGAACTGGGGCATTGACCAGTTGCAGTACAACCAGGGAGTTGTCCCAGTGCCAGTGATCCCCTCAGAGCACACTCAGAGTATGGCTGGAGATGTAAGTGAGCCCCTGGCTGTCTGCCATGGTAAAACAGACCTTTTCTGTCTGAGAAACTGTTGGATAGGAGAAGGCTCTGCCCCAGGAGCCGGTAGCAGAGTGCATTTGCTGGATAGCTCCTCGGGGTCAGGTTGCATCCTCCACACAGAGAGCAGGCAGAGGCACTGGCAATAGTAGTCCAGCACCAGCAACAAATGGCAGCTCTAAGTCATGACAGTTACATAAGTCAGATGATATCATACCCTCATAGTGAATTTGGGGACTTTCTGGAGCCATCTTCATTTCTAAAACTAGTGTTAGTCTTTTAACTGCATCCTCTGTGATTTCATACTTATATAGTGTATATTTCCTTTAACTTGCATTTTAACAGTAAGTGTTTCAGAGAAGGATTACTGATAGCACATTTTAAACAAGTTACAGGAAACAAAATTATTTATACAGTGTGTGTCAAGGTTTGTTAATACTGGAAAATACTTGTAAAAAGCAGTCAGCACACTGAAATACTGTAGCTAAGGTTTAGCTGATCTCTACTCAAAGGTTTTCCATTTGCAAGGACATAAACAGGCCAGGTGTCAACACAGCTGATGATCTGGATCACTGAGAACTGCTTTGCTATAATTCTTTTCCAGAGTGTCCGTACGGTAGCTATGGAATGGAATGCAGGAAAACATGCAACTGTCCCTCTGGCATCTGTGACAGAGTAACAGGGAAGTGTTTAAAGTTCCCGTTTTTTCAACTGTCTGCTTCAAAGCCTCCCAACCGACGAAAAATAATTTCACACACAGGTAAGACTTTATGGGGCAGTTGATTTTAGCAGAAAACACCTTGTCCATGATCTACTACCATGCTGTGTACACTGTGTGTGAGCGATGTGTACTTTGGTGGAGTTGTGCAAAACACAGCACAAGGTCCGTTAATTTTTCTTATTGGCAGATCACTTAACATGTGGCAAGGACTTAGATGGTCTGTGACACATGGCAAAAACATTTTGGAGTCTTAATATGGACAAAATACTTTGCAGCTCTTGCAGGTGCCAACACTACAACATCACCTGTGCAACTGGAGGCTATGCTAGGGTTTACATTAGTCAGCTCAGATGTGATAACACATAGCTGCTTTGTGTAGAATAGGATTTCACTACATTGATTTTGTATTTGCTACAGCTTGTTAACATATGGTAAAACCAACATTTTTTTTTTCCCCATGAAGACAGAACTTTATCTGTTTTCAGTTGTCAGTGAATGATTTTATGAAAAGTTTTTTTGTAGTCATTTGTCACAGTATCTCTGCAATAAGTTCTTACCTTCACAATTATGTTGGAAGCTTCTAACAGATCTTTCCAGAATTAAAAAAAAAAAAAGGAAAAAAGAAAAGGAATGTGAGAAACTAAAGTGATTTTGAGGTGGGGAGGAAAGATCACTGAAGTTTTTAGATCTGGGATTAAAAATTTTCCCCTTATTTTCCACCTGCTGATACTGAGGTATATTTGGCTGAATAATGTTGACTCTAAATATAAACACAAACCAAAATCAATACAAATGTGAAGAGAAGTAAAAAAAATTCAAATATCAGAGACTTAATCCTAGAACTATTAGGAGCTTTTACAGGACTTCATCCAAAGGTCTTTGGACTTTATTTCTTTTCCAGGTGCATTTTGTGTGCATTATTTTTATTTTCTCCTGTTATATTAAGCTAGCTAAAGTTTGCTGCCTTAATACATGATTTATCTTTCCCCCATTCTCTATTTAGAGAGAGTTACATGGAAGCAATCTTCCTCAACTTATGCTTATATAACATATAAAATGATTATTTTTCTGCATCTAGCCTACAGTTGAAATCTTCCAAGGCAGCCTTATTTTCGTTGGTTCCTCCTCCCCTTCCCTCTTTACCCCTTGCCCTTGGTCCCAGACCATCTGCTGCCCCTAAATTTAACAGCTTGTCTGATCACAGCCGTGATGAGATACTCACCACATAGAAAAAAGGGGTGGTTTTTACCCCTGTAAAGGTTTCATACTGATTTCTGTCCTCAGAGGTCTGTAACTGGAAGCAAACAGGAGACACTGGGTGGTACTCCACGGGGTGGTCACACAGGGTTTCATTTAATAGTGGCCTTCAGAGGTAGCTAAGGCATCTGTGAGATCTTCAGTTAATTAAAACAACTGCAAATGCTTCCGTATTTTAAACAGGCAAGTTTCTGATCCACATGTTTAATAAAAACATTATGGCTACACAAACCCTTGTAAAATGAAAGGTGTCAGAACGTGCTCCTGTGCACTGCAATTTTGACCCCTGCACAGTCAAACAGTAGGGCAGCTGATGGCATGCTTTGTCCCAGCCCAGCTAGCTGTGCCAAACAACCTCAGCCACAGCTCAAGAATCAGGCTCAGCCAGGGACTGTTTCCAGTGGACAAAATGGATATTGTTTTATCCTATTTTTGGAGAGTAAGAGAGTTTAGTGGCATGCACCACGCCAGTGGTGGCCTTAGTGGCTATTCCATGCTAGCTGGCCTTAGTCAGAGAATAGTTCCAGCTGCTTTAATTTGCTGCTGCAGCTATTGAGGATATGTTGCTTAGTCCCCTGTCACACTGGAGCGAGTGTTACAGTCAGAACTGGAAACTGAAGTCACATCGTCAGCCTCATGCTTAAACTATTAGAAAACACATCTGATTTATGTCTTAATTTGGCAGAAATTTTGCAACTAGGTAATTGGAGGCATTTAGGGAGATTTCTGCAAATTTGCCAGTTAAGATTCTTCTGAAGTATTCCAAAAACAAGGGACATTGCTGAACAATATTTTAATGCTCTTATGTTCATGAAATCCACCTTTATTTTTGTATCTTTTCAGACAATGACATGGCATCAGGGGACGGAAATTCTGTAAAGGAGGAATTTGTTAAAGAGAAAGCTATTCACCCTCCAATAATGAAATGGCTAAATCCTCGCTGATATTTGCTCACACTTTTAAGACTTTCAAGTGAATGCATTTCTCACAGATTATTGAATATGCAACAACTTAAAGAACAAAGTAGATCTATAGCATATGAAAATGTAATCTCTGAAGGTCAATTGTGATCTGTTTTTAATGAGAAAAATGTTTACTTTAAAATAGACTGTACAGTGTATATGAGTTTTGATATTTGTTTTGGTAAGTATTTGAACAGAAATGTGGATTCTTGAATGTATAGTAAAACTGAAAACGCGACATGAACATTTAAACAATGCCAGAGGCCAACTCCTGCAGCCTGAGGCTGGGAAAGCTCTCACTGAATTCAGGGGATAGTTTCGATGAGTGATATTATTGATGTGGAGCCAATCTGAAAGAAACAAATCCCAGGACAGAATGTAACACCCCTAAATCTCAATAATAATAACACAGAGCACAACAGTGTGATTAAATTTACCAACATTAGTTGCTAGTAATTTTCTGGGTTTTGGAAGCTGGTGACAATTCCTTGGAGATAAATATGCCTTTCTTCAGTGAGAATGCACCCAGCATTTCAGTTTATACATTATGAATAACTTAGGCAAAACACTGCAGACATATATTGTATTTAGGTGAATTTGTAAAGCTAAATTTTGTACAGAGAAACAACAGATTGGTAAATTCTACTGATTTGTAGAAGGGGATCTGAAACAAAAGAAGCTGCTTACTGTTATTTAAATATATATGTTTCTATAAACCAACTAATTGGTGCCATTAAGACGACATCTGCATTTCTTGGAGAAGAGTGGGTCCAGTGCAAGGGGCCAACAAATGAACCTTCCTACTTTCCACTTTCATTGCTGACTACTGCCCAGATCTGATTCACAAGGAGTTTATTTGATCCAGTGTAGGGAAGACTTAGACTCTCAGCAAGTAGTAGAGCAGCCAAGACTACAGTATTTTGGTACCCAGTCTTTTGTGTCTCCGTTGCATGAGCAAGTGGTCCTGTTTCAGCCAGGAGAATAACTTATGTGCATTAGTGTGTTGCAGAACTGGCAGTCCCTCATTCAGCCCAAACAGGACGATACATATGTAAGTTGAAAATCACCACTGAGGTGGGTTTGCTAATATGTCTGGAAACAACCAGATCCTTAGATAATGGAAACTGGTGTAGCTGTGTAAATGATCCTGGATTGTGTGAGTTTAGGAATTGCCTTGAAACGCAGAGCACTCCCATCGGAAATCTGGCTTGAATTGAATATTTCGTTTTAAACTGATGTGAGCTTTGACAATTACTTCAGTAAAAGAAGGAACACACAGTACAGCAGTCAAAGCTTAGTTCAGGATCTGAAAATATATTTTTAAACTAGGAACAACAGAAAATTTTGAAGAGTTGATCCAAGGCCAATGTGTAGAAACAGGATGCTTTCACTTGGGAAAACAGAGATGAATTGTGCTGCTCTACAGCAAGAGGATGATGACAACAATATACATCCAAACATCAGTACAGCAGTGCAGACTCTCTTGCCATGATAACTGGAGACCTATACACATAAATCTCAAACTAGTATATATCACATTTCAACCTGTGTGGAATGTTAGGGTCTGAGAGGGAGCAATGTTATCTTGGGTTATTTACAAGCAAGTGTATTGATTCTCATCTACTGATATCAAAAGTAAATTTTTTGTGGTTTCAGTGAGAGCAGGATCAAACCCACAGTCCTTGAGCAGATGATGACAATTATTTAAAGAACGTAGTAATATTGCATAGATAATTAATATTTTGCAACAGTGTCATAAATGACATTATGAGTTATTGAATGTTAATCTAATAAGCTGGTTGGTTTTAAAAAAATGTAAGATTATCATTGTTCAATTAAAAAAAACAACTGAAAGCAACACTGTCTATTGTGTTGACCTATTGGTGACCGAGTAAGACTGTGGTGATGGCACAGCCACGGCGCATGCAGATTAGGTACAGTTTTGCTCTCAAATCCACAGAAGCAGTTTCACAATGGCTGCATTTATTTCAGCAAATTTGCTGGAGACTATTCAGCATTGCTGAAGCCTAGTGGTGGCCTATGTCCACAATGACTTCTGTCCATACCTTTCAACCACTTTCATTTCCAAAATGAGGTGGCTGGATGCAAGTTGCCTACCAGGGACAGCCACTCCTTGGCCAACCCCAGTACAAGAAGCATTTGGCACTTGTCTTACTGGCCTGGCCACCACCATGCCAAGGACCATTTAGCCTTGGAGAAGTGACTACAACTCCTTGACACGGTTCCACTTACCCTGAAGTATTAACCTGTGAATCCAGACCTGAAATCAGGTGAAAGGAGAAGATGGAGAGGGTTGCCTTGCAGACATTTTTGGATGATTTCTACTCTTTTCCATCAAACTTAAAAAATGCTTTTGCATTTCTTCTGTTGCTCCAGTGACAGATTGCTCCACACAGAATAGACTTCAGACTGAAATTATAGTATAAGGAAATTTTATCTCTTACCCTTTAAAATGTCTACCTGTTGCTACTAGTGACAAAAGGACTACACCAGTATTTGAAATAATGCTACCATAGAATCACAGAATAGTTTAGATTGGAAAAGACCTTTAAAATCATCTGAGTTCAATTGTTAATCCAATACTGCCAAGTCCACTACCATGTCCCCAAGTGCCACAACTGCACATCTTTTAAATACCTCCAGGAATGGTGACTCCACCAGTTCCCTGGGTAGCCTGATACAATGCTTCACAACCCTCTCCATGAACAAATTTTTCCTAATATCCAATCCAAGCCTCCCATAGTACAACTTCAGGCCGTTTCCTCTTATCCTGTCACTTGCTACCTGGGAGAAGAGAACCTGAACACCACCAGGCCACAATCTCCTTTCAAGTAGTTGTAGAGAGTGATAAGGTCTCCCCTGAGCCCCCTCTTTTCCAGTCTAAACAACCCCATCTCCCTCAGCAACTCCTCATAGGACTTTTGTTCAAGTCCCTTCACCAGCCAGGATGCCACTGGCCTTCCCTGCCTAGGCACACTGCTGGAGCATGTTCAGCTGCTGTTGGCCAGCACTCCCAGCTCCTTTTCCACTGGGCAAATTTCCAGCAACTCTGCCCCCAGCCTGTAGTGATGCCTGGGGTTGTTGTGATCCAAGGACAGGACCTGGGACTTGGCCTTGTTGAACCTTATACCATTGGCCTCAACCTATCGATCCAGCCTGTCCAGGTCTCTCTGTAGATCAACACTCCTGCCCTGCACTTCTCACAGACGATGCCATCCGCAAACTTACTCATGACATCCTTGCAGTCCTCATGAGCTGTCTGCCCCTTCTTCCCAAAGTCATAAACCCTGGGTTTTTTCCTGATTTTCAACCACAGGTCTTGGTTCAGCTGGGCTGGTATTCTCCCCTTCTGGCTTGTCTTTTGGCAGACGGGTGGCCTGCTCCTGTGCCATTTGGATTTCTTTCTGAAGAATGTCCAGCCTTCCTGGACTCCTTTGCCCTTCAGCATCACCTCTCGAGGGACATGAAATGAGGTTCATGGAAATAAGGGTTTTTCACCAACCTCTTCTTTATTTTCCATCCTTTCATCTTTCTACATCTTTGTCCACACCTCTCCTGGCTCTTCACTGCACACTTCAACTAATTTTCCCTATTTTGCAAATGTGGATTTTTTTTAGACTTTTTTCTTTTCTTTACCCAACTCCATGTTCCAGGCATCCTCCGTGCACCTGACCTTTCCTTCCCACACAAGATTAAAGCCAAATATAGGTGTTCTCTCCTGAAGTAAAAGTTGTGAGGTGGTTCATCACAGAATGTGCTCCTACCATCTATTATCTAAATTATTTTTTAGTTTATTTCCGATATGACTATACATGGCAAATAGGCCTCATTTCTAGTAGGTAGAAATTATTTTCTCAGGTACTCAACTGTAAGCTGGTAATATATGCAAAGACTCTTATTTTTTTTTTTATTTAATGTGCAATGACACTGATGAGATGTGTGCTGTAATGTAGTTTCTATTTTAGTCTGTATTATAGGATGTTGTAGTCACCATCACATTTCAAACAATATATCATCAAATGTTTTAGAGTGGTGTCCGAAATACACAGAATAGAGAAACCTGAAATATATTCAGATATATTTCACCCACAATTCAAAGAATATGTCATAAATATATTTCCAGCGTAGACTGACTTTTAATGAAAAATAACCTTATCAACATCAACTGTGCGAAATGTCTTCAACATACTTTAATGTATGATTTTATTATATAAAACATTCACACTAGTATTGTGAGATGTATCACTTACTAATCACTATAGTTTAAGTAACAATATAAATTTGCTACTCTGATCTGCTGGACATGCATCATGAAGCAAACACATTGAAGTACATATTTTAAATAAAAATAAATGTATTATCACCTCTGTACATGCTTGCTATCGATTTAAATGGACTGTCAGGTCACAGCAATGCTTTGAAAATATTTCCTGACACCTGCAAAACTGGTAAATACTTCCTGTTTTTGTTGTGTCTGCTGAAAATACCTCCAAATGCTGAAGTATTCCTGCCCATCTCCTTTGCAGCAGTTGCCAGTGACCCCTGTGCATGTATTGGGTGCCTCAGCTGTGTTTGGGTGGTTGTGTTGCACCCATGCCTGGAGAGCCTGGCTTTACTGCAGATGCTGGCTGGGATCCAGCCACAGTCCTGGCACCCCTATATCCCCCATGCTGCCTTTCCGCAGGATTCTCAGAACCTGCAAAATGCTCTGTGTAAACAAATTTGTGTTTGGATGAAGAAAAAGACAGAGATTTCCTTAACTTTATTACTACACAATGCTCCTGATCCTCTCTGATCCCCTCCCATCCACTGTGCTTCCAAAGTGGCTGGACCTCAGATTCATGTGCTAGCTCCCTTCATACTTTTGAAGGTTATTAGGTGAAAATTCAACTGAAATTAAGGGCAACAGTTGATTATGTATGATCTTATCTTCACCATCTAAGGAGACATAGATTAAATTT